GACCTGGGATCCGATGTAGGTGGACAGGATGCACTAGCTGGTGCAGGTCTCTAGGATTTGAGAGGTTTGGGGGAAATATCAACTGTCAGGACTGTGGAACTGGGAGGCTTTGCTAAGCACCACTGATGCATGGAAGAGAGTGACTGGCTCAGATTAATCACCAGCTGAAAGCACAGTGTGAGACTCGGAGGACCTCCTTGCCAGTGATTAGTCCCTCATCCCCTACAGCGCAGTACTTGAGAGAAAGATGAATTCTCAGCCAAGACAAGTCTGCTGCCTGATCGTATTGGGCTCCTAGTGCCAACAGATGAGCAGGTGAGGCAGGCCCTGAAAGGAAAGACATGGGATTCTAAAACTTGGGGTGAGGAGGCTAAGTACATGTCCTTCCTTCCCCAGGCTGGCAGAAGTGGCCCACTCCCCCTTGTTGGAAGATAGACCCTTCTCCTGCCCCCACCCAAGATTATGCAGAAGCCTCAGATGAGACATACAAGATAATGCTTGCCCTTCTCAGGATGCGTCCCTTCCTGACCTCCCTTCCTGACCCCCCTTCTTGACCACTTCCAGAATGATAACTAGCATCAAATGACAACACACTCTGTGGAAGAGACACACAGATCTCCGGACATGAGCTCCAAATGTGAGGCTCTTTGAATCATTCGTTGATGCCCACCAGAGAATATCCATTGCAGAAAAAAGTACCACACAGCCAAGCTGACTGAATGGCTTGGCCAGCAGGTGCCAGCCAGTGCTGGCACAGAGAGCTTGCAAGTGAAGGCGTCTTGGCAGCAGAACGGGAGGCTGTGCGTGGGTCAGCAGCACGGACATCAAGACTGATCTAGCTGTTGCCACTGTTGACTCCCAACCTGCCAGCACAGAAATCAGTGCTGAGCCCCTTGTTCTCCCTGGAGGAGAACAGTTGATTTCATGAGACCCCCTCCAGGCTGGAAAGTACAGTGATTCATCCTGAGTGGGGCTGACACATGTGCTTTTCTGCCCATAGTGCCTCAGTGAGCATCACTGGAGTGACTCAAGTAATATCTGATCAACCACAGTACGTTGCTTTGATTGGGAAACTCAGCCATGTGCATAGGGTCACAGAATCGACCCTCTGATCCTACCACACATGGCCTCACTCAGAAGCGGCCAGCCTGACAGCCGTGGAGTGGCCTTTAGAAAGCGACGGGGAGCAGCAGTGTTGGACATGACACTGTAGGGCTAGGCGCTGACTTTCAGGATGCAGCATATGTCTTAAACCAATGGCCATTTTTATGGCACCATGCCCCCAGTAGGCAAAATATATGAGTCTGGGAGCCAAGAGGTCAGATGAGTTGTGGCCTTATTCATTATCACACTCCTATCAAATATCCACATGAGGAATTTGTCCCGCCCATTCCCTGCTATTTTAGTCTCAGTGAATTTAGAAGTAGTGGTTGCCAAGAAAGGCAGACACCAGGGGACACAGTTAAGAGTCCTACTTAAATCTCTGCCAGCCACCTGCTGCTGCAGTTGGTCCTTAGGTTCTAACTCCTCATTTCCCTCCCACTAATTCTAGATCCCCTCCTCCTTGTCTGGCAAGTCTGCTGGTGGCACGCATAGTGGGCACCCCAGACTCTTGTCTGGCAGTTGTTCTTTTAACTCGCTCATTTACAGTTACAAGTGGGCATGGGAGTGTTGAGAAATGTCCCAGTAAGTCACCAGACCGCCAGACACCTTCCTCTCCGACTCTATTAAGTAACAGCCCAACATCCTCATGGTGATCAGTTCAATTACTTCCTCTAGTGTGGCAACTGCTTTCTTTGCCTGCTGGCCTGCTGGTCTGCTGACGCGAACACACAGTGAAAGGTGTCCTCGTGCCCCTAGCAATAAGGCCTGGGTGGGGGAAGGCTGTAAGGTGGGAATTCTCCTATGAGCCCAAGCAACTCCGTGATGGACAGTCACAGAACAGATGAGCATGCTTTTTCTGGTGCTATCGGTTAACATAAAAGAATTAAGCTAATGGTATTTTACTAGCTTGGATTGTGCTGAAAATTTTGAATTCTGAATTCAGGTTTTGACCCTGATTTGCAAAGCCTTGGCCATTGAAAGGTACATAAAACTCAAAGAACCATTCCACTGCAGAGGTATCAGAGCAAGAACCTGTCCACCAGCCAGTCGGTGAGAGCCCTTGGGGCAGGCCTGATTGTGGGTCCCTCGTCTGGTCCCTCAAGTCTTGATGATGAGAAGAACTGCTTTAATACCAGTGAACCATCTAGTGGAGTACTTAAGGATTGCTTGCTGATTTCGGTGGGATTTCCTTTTAGGCCTAGATAATATAGTTACTTTCATTATTTTTATTGTTACCTTATTGTTATTCAAAATTATTTCATGCATTCTTATGATGAAGAAAATAAATTCTAGCAAACAGTCAGCTCTAGTGAGATTGTGGGTTATTTCAGATATCTGACCAATTGGTTTTAACTATTTTAACTATCCTTTTCTATTTATAAAAAGAAGATATGTAGATAGATAGATAGATTATCAAAAATCTAAAATTTACAGAAATAAAAATGCAAATCAAACATAACCGGTCAGAGAAAGACAAATTCCACATGATCTCATTTATATGTGGAATCTAATGAACAAAATAAACTGATGAATAAAATAGAAACAGAGGTGTGGAAACATGGAAGAGACTGATGAACCTCAGAGGGAAGGGGGAGGGGCAGGAAGAAATTAACCAAAGAACGTATATGTATATACGCATATATTGCCCATGGACACAGACAATAGGGTGATGAAGACCTGGGGCTGGGTGGAAGCTGGGTAGAGGGGGGCAATAGGAGAAAAGGGAGGACATCTTTAATACTCAACAATAAAGATAATTTAAAAAAAAAAATTAAAATGGAAAAATGCATATTTAATAAAATTTAGAACTATACAAATGTGTGTGTTGGGGGGTGGCTTTGTATTTTAGTCTTATTGAAAAATTCCCATTAAATCTCTGAGGAAATGTGTAAGGCTTTGACTGAACCCAACCAGACACATTAGCTTGTCCTCCCCACCTACCACCCAACTGTGGGCTTATTCCAACCCAGACAATTTGAGAGTATCTGGTTATTGAGCTAGGAAGTGGTTTCCCAGTTGTGAAATTTCTTTGACTCCAGTTCCTAGCAGCACAGAAAGTCTAAGACAGCCAGCTCAGACTTCCCTAGAAGCTGGCGGGGACAACAGAAAATGCATGGAAGGGAGGGAGGGAAGGAAGGAGGGAAGGAAGGGAAGAACAATTAATTGAATGCTTAGGAGTGATTTCTTTCCTCTGGGACAAAAACAGATTTGCAAAGGAAATGGACACTTCACATATAGACTGGCCTAGATGTTCAAGTTTACACTCTGGGCCACCAAGCTAAAGATATTCATCCAGCCTGGTGCCCATGAAAACATCCTAGAGATAGCTCCTTTGTGAGCTCTGGAGAGCTACTGGGATGGATTAGGCAGAAAGTGACCCCTTGGGTTAACTCCTAGAAGGCCAAGAAGGAGCTTGGTGTGCAGTATAGCACAACAGTTCAGGGTTCAAGCACTTACGGACTTGGCTTCCAGACCCCATTTTAATCTGGCTCCATCTCTTTGGATGAATTACTTAACCTCTTTGTGCTTAAGTTCTTTTCATCATTAATTTTACAAAATGGAGCTAATACTGTAATCTTCCTGTGAGAATTAAATGAGATAATCTAGGCATATTGTTAGTACATTATGTTTAGCAACTAGTTCTCCACATTTGTTCCTCCAGGGGCTTAGGCGTTACTTTAAGGTGACTCTCCACCCCTCAGCCCCCAAGTGAGGATGTACTTCCGTTCATGTGATAGAGGCAGTCCTTAACAAGTTTTTGCATAATTGTAAGGAATAGAGAAAAATTTAGTTTGAAAAAGAATAAAAGTAGTTTGCCCATTTGAAATCCTTGGGGTGGGAGCTGCCGCTGAACTAGCTGGGGATATGGTGGTCCCTTTGCGCCATCTAGTGCACAGTGAGGGGAAAAGCTATTATTTCATCAAAGTTGGTCGTTTGCCAAAAACATTGGGTTCACTTGTTAATAAATTTTATTCAATAGTTTAAGAAAACGAAAAGATTAGAATTCTAAACATTAAGTGCTAGACCTAAATTTCCCAAACTATTTAGGAGTTAGGTTCTGTGTGCTACAAAGATCACCCGCTGAGGGGAGAGCTGCACCCCAGTCCCTGCTGGCCTGAGTTTTCATGGCCCACTTTTCCCATCCTTCTTGTCCTTCACCAATACTCCTTATGCTTATTCTGGTACATGAACTGGGGGTTCCCTCGAGACTCAGAAAAATCTTCCCAACATGCTGCCGGAACTTGGGAGGTATCATTCTCTTCATTTTTCTTTAAAAAAAATTTTTTCTCCCCTTTATTGATTTTAGAGAGAGAGGGAGAGAGAGAAACAGCGATGAGAGAGAATATCGATTGGCTACTTCCTGCATGCCCTCACTGGGGACCTGGCCCACAACCTGGGCATGTGCCCTGACTGGGGATCGAACTGGCGACCTCTTGGTGCATGGGTCAATGCTCAACCACTGAACCACACCGGCTGAGCTCATTCTGCTCATTTTCTAGGAACACAACCATCACTTAAAATATTTCTGTAATCAGCCCTGCTGGTGTGGCTCAGTGGGTTGAGCATCCTCTCATGGACTGAGAGGTCCCGGTTCCATTCCCACTCAGGGCACATGTCCGGGTTGCAGGCTTGATCCCCAGTAGGGGCCATGTGGGAGGCAGTGGATAGATGTTTCTCTCTCACATGGGTATGTCTGTCTCTCTCTAAAAATAAATAAATAAATAAATAGAAAAAATCAATAAAATATATTTTAAAAATATTTCTGTAATGAAACTGAATATTTATCAAGGCCTATATGTTTGATGTGGTTCTTCTGGTGTGTGTGTGTGTGTTTGCTCTGTGTTTCCTTTCAAAGCCATTTGTTTATTACCTTTATAATTTGTTTCCTCCCCTAGATGTTTATGAGGATGAAAACAATGGCAGACAAATCTCCCCCAAATGTGAGTACTAATAGCACTCTGGGAGCACTGTCCTGAGACCTTCTCTTTAGTATCATTGTCATTACTATTAATAATAATCATAACAGTGTTATTTATTAAATTCCTGTGATGTACCAGGCATTTATAAACATTTTTGCTAACATCAAGACTACAAAATAGAAATGATTATCCCCATTTTAGAGACAAGGGGACTGATGCTCAGAGAAAGGAAGTGACTGACCCAAGATCACACAGCTAGTGAGCTCTTGGCCAGGTCAGAACTGCCCTCAGCTCTGACCCCCAAGCCCCTGCTCCTCCCACCCAGCAATGAGCCTCTCATCTGTCCACTCACGTGCCTGCAACCTGCCAGACCCAGGGCCTGAGATTCTGGGGTCCCCTCAGTGCTGCCACCTCCACAGTACCGAAGACGCTTAGTAGCACAGAGCCCATGGCCGTGAATCCAGGAGGAAGGATTCAGTATGGATGTGACAGCAAAAGGCAGCGCATGAGCTGCCCCTTCCTCCCCTGTAAAACCAGGGCCTTTGACTGAGGCGCGTTCTGCAAGGTTTGCCGATTCTAAGAACTCTGGTTCCTTCCAGGAGCCGTGGGGGATATGGGTGGATAGGGCTTTGTCTCTGCTGCCAAACTCCCTCAAAGGGTCTTGTGAGGTGATTATGGGCGACCTGCCCCCTGCACAGCCCCTTTCCTCCTCTGTCTCCCAGAGTAGGACAGAATAGAACAGAATGAAATAGTAGAATAGAATAGAATAGAATAGAATAGAATAGAATAGAATAGAATAGAATAGAATAGAACAGATAAAGACACTGCATACTTTGAGAGCAATACTGGTCCATAAACTTGCCTTTACATATTGTAACGTACTTATGTGTGCACATTGTGTTGGGATGTAAAATTTGCATCTCCCTTCAGTTGCACTGGGAGTGCCTGAAACTTGTCTGGGCCTTTCAGTACCCAAGTTGCCTCCAGCTCTGCCCACCCAGGCTGTGGGTGTCCTACAGCTGAAGAAGGCCAGAATCCCCACCCTCATCTTCTCACTGGGTGGCTTTCCAGTTTCTGGAACCAGTATTGTCTGGGGCACTGAGGCCATGGACCCTGGAGACAAGCCCTTTTGTTCACTCGGGGTCAAGGGCCTGGCTGCGCCCGTCCTCCCTGCAGCCTTTCAGCAGGACGGCCATTCCTCACTGTCACTGACTGCTCCCAGCACAGGGGTTCCAAGCTAGATGATCGCCCTAAAGAGGCGTCTCTGGGGGTCACAGCAGATGCCCCTGAGTCACCTATGGAGAAGGGCAGTGGGAGGCATCTCCCTAAGCCAGTTTGTCTTCTACCCTCAACTGTCTCAGCCACTACATCCTGGGAACAGGAATTAAATCAGGATTTCTGGCCCTGACCACTTTGGCTCAGCGGTTAGAGCATCGGCCTGCGGTCCAGAGAGACCTGGGTTCGGTTCCCGCTAAGGGCACGTACCTCGGTTGCAGTTTGTTCCCAGCCCTGGTTGGGTCGTGCGGGTGGCAACCACTCGATGTGTCCCTGTCATGTTGATGTTTCTCTATCTATCTCTCTTCCTCCCACTCTATCTGAACAAAAAAATGAAAAAATGTCCTCGTGAGGATAAAAAAACAAACAACAACAACAACAAAACAGGGTTTCTGGAGGCCTCCAGGAGGTGCTCACACCACCTCCACTGACCTCCTCTGGGGAGAACCCTGGGCCCCAGAACACAGTCTGGGGGGACTCTGGGCAGCACGCTGGAGACCTCCCAATTGATCACTGGCTGCTCTCCGAGATAAAGGAGCCTGTACCACACCACCAACAGCAGGTTCCTTCTGCTCCGCCTCCAGAGCCATTACTCTGCCCAGAGTGCCCTCCTTCCCCTGCCGGTTCCCCTCCCTCTGAATTTTCACCAAACAGAAACTTTTCCATCTCCAGATTCCAGAGGGATGGCTTGCTAGGCTGACTGCCTGGGGCTGCCTGCCTAACCTGCTTTGTGAGCAGTGTGGGGCAGAGGCCACGTCTCATTTAGAGTGTGGGGTGAAGAGCAGGACTGTCGAGGAGTCCAGCCACAGTGCCCACAGGCCAGGGAATTTGACCAAGTGATTATTTCTCTTTTATCTGTTTCCTCGTCTGTAAAATGGGGCTACGGCCCTAATACCGTTGTCCTGACATCCCTCGGCACAGAGCTGCCTCAGTATTTGTGGGAGTTGCTGTTCCCCACCGTGCTAACAGCCCTGGGCACATAACAGGTGCACAGTGGTGACTGCTTGGCCACTTAATGCATTCGCTGGAGAGAGAGGTGGATGAACTGGTTTCCTTGTGTTCTCATGGGGAGTGCAGTGACATTGGCAGAAGCTTTGAAGGAGATGAGGGTTAGGGAAGAGAAACAGGGGCAAGAAAGGGAGGAGGGTGGAAAAGTAGTCAAGCACAAAAAGATTTTTTCCTGGGAAGGCTGGAGGTAGGGCTATGAACAGCATATGGACACATCTCAGACACAGTTACAGAATTTCAGAGCTGGAAAGGGAACCCAGAGATTACAGATCCACCCCCTCACCACCCAGGTGAAGCAGTCCAGTCCTGGGCGAGTAGGAGAGGTGGGGATAATGGGTACCGGGGCCAGGCGCTGCCCACCACCGGCAGCAGGGCCCCTCCAGGACTCTAACTAAGCCTACCCAAATTCTTCCCTCCTTTCCCCAAGGCTGCTCCAGCAGGGCACGTGTCTCCATGGAAACCGCTGATGATTGTGAAGGGGCAGAAGATATGGAGAAGGAGAGTGCTCTGGGTGTAATTTATTTCCTTCTTCTTTCACGTTCTCCCTCATTCCTGTTCACCCCCCTCATTCCTGTTCTCCCAGGCCCCACCCCCCTCCTTTCCATGTTTCTCCCCATGTGGACTTGGCCTAATCCAGGAAGCTGAGGTCACTGCCTCAGCAAAGTGGCCCAGACCCTCCCAGCCCAGCATGCCCCACATCATCATCTCCTTACCAACGTGCTGGTTTCTGGCCATAGGTGTGGGGACCCCTGTTGGAACCCTGAGTGGCCCTATGGGATTGCTGGGGTGAGCCCTGCCCTGCCAGCGAAAATCACCCGCCTGGCACCCAGCTAGCCCTGAGGGTGCCCACTGTCCCCTCCTTTCCAGCTCTCGGGACTTTTCCAGTTGGACGACAGTTATGAAACCTGTTCCGCCAAGTCTGTTCCGGACACAGGAGAACGCATCCAGGGAGATAAAGGAGGCGATGATGCGATGGTCGCGTGAGTGTGAAGGACGGGAACAAGTAAGCGACTTTGTTAGCCAGTGCTTCTGGGACATCCTTCTCGGAATTTCAGGGCAACAGACAAAACTGGGAGAGCGTGGGGAGTCCACTGGCTTGTTCGCGGCCCCTGGGGGCAGAGGACTCGCGTTGGGGCCCAAGCGGTGGGGGAGGGGGAGGGGGAAGGGAGGGCTGTCCGAGGACCCACTCCCCGGAGAACCGACAGTCCTTCCAGAGAGCTGCGCCATTCTCATTCCCGGGGGTGGCTGCTATGGGCACAGAGGCCATGCCCACCTCTAAGCAGAGGGGCCTGCGGACCTGCCTCCCTAGCAAAGGGCACCAGGTCCCCCTTCCAGGAGACTCGGGAGCCCCCACGCCCTGCCCACGAGAACCTTCGTGCTCTCCGCGCTCATTTGCACCCAGCGCGGGTTCTCGGTCTGCGGGGCGCAGTGGGGCTCAAGCCCGGCGGGCTCAGCCCAGGGCTTCTCAGTGTTGGCACTTGTGACAGTTGGGACAGGGTAGTTCCCAACGAGGGCTGTCCTGTGCACTGTAAGATGTTTAGCAGCGTCCCTGGCCTCTACCTGCAGAGGCCATAACATCCCCACCCACTTACCCAAACTGTGACAGTAAAAAAATATGCCATCGGGTGTTGCCAAATTTCTTCTGGGGTGGGGGTGGGGGGTGGGGGAGAGATGGGTTGAGAACCTCTCATCCGAGCTGGAGGAGCTGGAGGACCTGGAGTCGCCCAAACCCGACATGGGACATGGGACATGGGCAGAAGACTTCTCCCCTCTTCCCCGCCCCTCCACCTCCTCTTTAGTCCCGTGAGAAAGTCAAAGCAGCGGGTACTTTGTTCCAGGGCCCGTTCTGTTCACAGGGGTTGGCTGGTTACAAGTTAACTTCTGACATGTTGGCGTTTCAATTTATTCGTTAATGAATTAATTGGTTTTTTTAGTTTTATTAGTTAATTTTTAGTTTATAGTTTTATAGCTATCTAATTTCATACCTTTAAAGTTACCTGTTTTTAATTGTTTTATTTTAAAGGTTAGTTTTTGAGTTACTCATTTTCAGTTATTTATAGTTATTTTGTTTTAAGAGTTATATTTCCAAACTAATTATCATTTATTTTTAAAGTAAAATGGTTTTAGCTATTTTAGGGTTTCCTCCTCGTTATTAAGTTTTAGAGAGACATGTTCACAGGTTTTTACTTTAATTATGTTGGGCTCTGTTTTGTTTATTTTTACATTTTTTGTCATTTAGGTTTTTTAGTTATTTAGTTTTAAATGACTCCATTTTTAGACATTTCATTTTTGAGCCTTATATTTTTTGAATTCTTTTATTTTCATAGTTTTGACATTTTTTGTTTTAGTTATTTATTCTTTTTTGTGGTACGTGCCCCTAGCCGGAACTGAACCCGGGACACTCTGGTCCGCAGGTCGACGCTCAACCGCTGAGCCAAACTGGCCAGGGCTAGTTACTTATTCTTAATTATTTCTTTTCAGTTATGTCTTTACCATTTAAATTTTTTTCTGTTCTGTATTTTTATCTTTTTTTTTTTTTAATCCTCACCCGAGGATATTTTTTCCATTTTTTGTACAGATAGAGTGGGAGGGAGAGAGAGGAAGGGAGAAAGAGAGAGAAACATCGATGTGAAGGGACACATCGAGTGGTTGGTCCGGGGACAAACTGCAACCGAAGTACGTGCCCTTAGCGGGAACCGAACCTGGGTCTCTCCGGACCGCAGGCCTACACTCCAACTGCTGAGCCAAACTGGCCAGGGCTGTATTTTTATCTTTTTTATTTATTTTCAGAAATATTTATTTTAGAATTAGTCTGTCAGTCAAGATCCACTTAATGGAGAGACACTATATCAGTTACTTTAAAAGAGATCATTTAATATAAAGAATTGTTATTCAACTATTAGAACTTTAAAAAAAAAAAAAGTGATAATGAGATATTACAAAGATTCTAACTGCAAGAAGCAGCTCTCTGACCACGGCCGAGGAAACAATGCGAAGTGGGCGGAGGCGGCCCCGCGAGGCCGAGCATCACCCTCTGCGGCGGAGACACTGCCCGCGGGACAGGTGTCCTAGGAGCTGGGTGCTGAGCTCTGAGCAGGGGCTGGCAGCTAGCTCTGGTCTCTGAAGGGCTGTGAAGAGGCTGGTTATGGGGGCGCGGGGAAATGGCAGACGCAGCTCCTGGAAGCAGCTGTGGCTCTCAGGATGCCAGCAGGAACCCGGGCACACGGGAAGGAGTGTGTCCCTCTCTCCGCCTCCAGCTTCTGATCAGTCTGCCCTGTTGGCTGAACCTGGCAGGGAGCCGCTGGCAAAGGAGGCGAGGGGCCTGCACCACAAAGCAGAGAGCAGAAGGGTAGGTTGGAAGTGAAGAAACCATAGCTAATACCCAGCGCATTGGGCTCTGGAGTTATTCAGTTTTAGAGTTAGTTTTGGGTTTAGTTTGGTTTTGAATTGTTAGAGGACTTGATTTTAACTTTTCACTTGAGGTGGGATTTGGCTGAGTCTTCAGTCTCTTGATTTGTTTCTTGAATGGAGTGGGTGACAAATATGGAGAGGAGTGTTTCCCATGAGACTCAAGAAAATCACTTTAGATTCAAGAAAAACAAAAATAAGTGACTAACGTCCTGGCCAGGTGGCTCGGTGGTTGAACACTGACCCATGCACCAAGAGGTCACTGATTCAATTCCCGGTCAGAGCACATGCCCAGGTTGTGGGCCTGATCCCCAGTAGGGGGCAAGCAAGAGGCAGCCAATCAATGTTCTCTCTCACTGATGTTTCTATCTCCCTCTCCATGTCCCTTCCTCTCTCTCTCAAATCAATAAAGAAAAAGTGACTTACTTTGTTCATAAAGAAGTCCTTTGACAGTGTGGCAAAGGGCAAAGGCCTCTCCAATTACCAATCACAATATATGCATTTCTCAGTGAGGATGTGTAGGAACTAGAACTGGACAGAAGAATCTCCAGGGTTCTGACTATTCGAATAGTCAAGAAACACATCACTTGGATCCTCTCAAACACCTTTTCCACTGATTAGCCAGCCACTCATCACAGAAACATCCCACAGCTTTCTGTATGCTTTGGACCTTAGTCATTTTCTGAACCTTTGAAAACGGCCACACTTGACAGTGGCGGCTGAGTGCAAAGTGCCCAGACCTCCTGGCCTTGCAGGAAGACCCTCTCCACAACCTCACATCCCAGTGGGCGACCAGTTCAATCCCAGTCAATGTGGCTGGTGTTCCCAGATGCCTCTCTCAGGTGCTCCAGATCGTCCACCTTGACCTTCCATTCAGGCCTTCTTGTCCAAGCCCTACATTGCTACTCTACTTGCAGGTCTCCTCTGTGAGAAAACAGGGCTCATGGAATCAGATTCCCACTGAGCTCGTGGTGGACTGTGGGGTGGGACAGGAACGGGAGAATAATTCTCATAAAGCCAGCCCGGTTACACAGTAGGTCCCCAACAGACACTGTATCCCTTGCCCCAGGGTCTGGACACACTGCTCACTCAGGAAATAGTTGTGAATTTTTTAGACTTCTTAAAAATGAGGTGGGGAGGTGGCTCTTCTGTGTGAAATTTGTGTCATCTCTCCATTGAATAAGTGGAAAAGAATCCGAAACCATCAGATAAAATCCTCCAGCCTCCTTTCACAGCTGGGCCAAACCACCCACGCCTTAACAATGTTGCCTGTTGCCCACCAGAGGGACCCAGAGTTCAACACGTGTCTGAGGGGTGCGAATGCTGTTGCCCCAAATGGAAGTGCTTTGGCTGAAGCATTTGCACTAACAGTGGCCCTGGATCTGTGAAATCTGGCAGGAGTTGGAGTCCATACTAAACACCAACCGTGCATTATGAAATAATTAGAAACATTAGCGATCCTCTAAAGCAGTATTTCTCAGTGTCTCTTTTGCAGAATAGGCACAAGAGTATAAGAGTTCAATGAGTTAATCCCGCAACAGCAGCAAAATTACCTAATAATAAATACATTTTTAAAACACAACACATTCTGTTTCTCAGTTGGTTCCAGTTGGGTTAAAGAATCTGAGAACTCTTGCAGAAAGAAAATGTGTGTACTTGGATTAAACTCATCATTTCCCAAACTTATTTGAACCCTTTTCTTTGTGGAATATAATGTCTTGTGTGTATTATAAAGGGAAAGGTTAACAAAAAGACCCAACAACATAGTGACTTAAAGAATATTTCTGTCCCATAAAGCAGCTCTGGTCGGGTATGCAGGCTGCTTGGCTCCACACAATCATTTTGGGTCCTAGGTTCCTTCTGTTTTTTCCACCATCTCCTAGAATATTGTCCTTGTCTACAAAGTAAAAAGCAAGTCTCCAAATGTCTGATTTCCAACTCTCAGGAAGGGGAAAGAACTTGGCAGATTGCATGTGCAATGTTTTTGTTTTAATGTTTTCATTGTATTTTGGGGGGGGGGGTACATGCCCCTAGTGGGAACCGAACCTGGGACTCTGATCCGCAGGCCGAAGCTCCAGTCACTGAGCCAAACCGGCCAGGGCTTCATTGATTTTTTTTAGAGAGACAGGGAGAAGGAGCTAGAAACATTGATGTGAGAGAAGCATCTATCAGCTGCCTTCTGCACGCCCCCTACTGGGGATCGAGCCCAAAACCCAGGCATGTGCCCTAACGGGGAATCCAACCAGGACCTCTCATTCCCTGGGGTCAGCACACTCACTCCACTGAGCCACACCACAGGGCAATGTGTGCAGTGTTTGACGCCGCACCTGCAAATGGCATACACACTCTATTCCTTTAGTGAACACTTTGTTGCCTGAACACAACAAGCTACAAGAGAGGCTGGGAATATAGCTAGGAGGCCACTGCCCAACTGCAATTTTATTACTACGTGTCGGTGTCACCCAGCTAGCCTGCAGCAGAGCAGGAACTGAACCCAGGTCTTCCAACTCCTATGCCAGGACCCATTACCACGCTAGTGCCACTTACTCCTTCATGCACGAAGTGCCTCTTGAGTTCCACGTTTATTGTCTGATAGGATAGAAAGCTTCATAAAACATAATTTCACTGATTCTCTATAAAATATCAATTGCATCTTTAATCTGCTAGCAGTTTTTATATATGGATAAAATTTTGAATATGGCTATGAAAGTAGCAAAAACTATCGGTTCATATAATATTTTAATTTGCCAGAGAACGCATACAGCAGGTCCACAAATAATGTTGTTTTATTCAATGTTGTTTCACTGATGATGTTTTTTAAAAAAATTGATTCCTGCCTTGGGCAACTGTGTGTATGGAGTTTGCATGTTCTCCCCATGTCCGTGTGGGCTTTCTCCAGGTACTCTAGTTTCCTCCCTGTCCCAAAGATGTGCATGTGAGGTACTGTGTCTAAATTGTCCCAAGCCCGGGCCGGTGTGGCTCGGTTGATTGAGCATTGTCCCATGCACCCAGAAGTCACCAGTCGGATTTCTGGTCAGGGCACATGCCAGAGTTTTGGGCATACCCAAATCTCTGATACAGGGCGTGCAGGAGGCAGCCAATGGACGTGATGGTCTCCCTGCCTCTCTCTCTAAAACCAGTACAAACATATTAAAATGTCCCAGTCTGAGTGGGTGTGGGTATGTGGTTGTGCCCTGCAATGGACGAGTATCCTGTCCAGGGCTGGCTCCCGCCTTGTGTCCTGAGTTTCAGGGGTAGGCTCCAGCCCCCCTCAACTCTGAACTGGAAGTACTGTTGGAAAATAATTACCTTTCTTGTTTTTATTCATCTTTCTTAAATGTAAGTATAGTTCACATTTGTTTTAATGTTTAATATTAGAAGTGTTTGGGGTCTCTATTTAGAAATTTCATAATGTTTCTGTAACCAGAAATATGTCATAGTAACTTAACTCTTGATTATATGAATCAGCTTGTGGTAAAATTGGTTTTGTTATATGTCATTTCACTTAAAGTCCTCACACTTACTGTACTATGGGAATAAGCAAACATAAGAGGAACAGAGCATAAAAATCTTGAAATGGACCCAAGTACATCTCAGAATGTAGAGTATGAAAAGAGGCATTTCAAATTTGTTCTGAACAACATCAGCAACAGCAAAGATAAATTATGTGTGAAAGTGTTGCTGTGATTCCTGGATAACAATGTGGAAGAAAATAGTGTTCACCGTAGCCCTTAAAATAATTCATATTGTTCAAATATGTGACTTAACAGAATCATGAAAATCAAAACATTTAAAAAATAATTTCAAACAGAAGAAAGTCTTTCCAGGCAAAAACTATAATCAGAAGTTACCAAAAAAATCTTGATTAATTAGGCTATGTAAGAGGCAAAAACTTATATGTGGAATAAAAAAACAAAAAGTCAAATCATGAATGCAGTTTTTAAAATCCTCACCCAAGGATATGTTTTTATTGAGTTTTTTTTTTTAAGAGAGAGGAAGGGGGAGAGAGAGAGAGAGAGAAAAAAAACATCGATGTGAAAGAGAAACAATGATCAGTTGTCTCCCTTATACAACCTGACTGGGGATGGAGCCTGCAACATTTTGGTGCCTGGGACAACACTCCAACAAACTGAGCCACCCAGCCAGGGCCATATTTTAATCCTCACCCGAGGACATATTTCTATATTTTGTTCAGATAGAGTGGGAGGGAGAGAGAGAGAGAAACATCGACGTGAAAGGGACACATCGAGTGGTTGCCACCCACACAACCCAACCTGGGCCGGGGACAAACTGCAACCGAGGTACGTGCCCTTAGCGGGAACCGAACCTGGGTCTCTCCGGACCGCAGGCCAATGCTCCAACTGCTAAGCCAAACTGGCCAGGGCCATAAATATATTTTTAAAACATATGGCACAGACTATTTCCTTGGTGTATGAAGAGCTTTTACAAATCAGTAACATTAAGAGTAGAAAAAGAAATGGGTAAAGGACATGAATATACACAGGAAAAAAATTTTGAAATATAATAAATATACAAAAAGCAGCAAAACAATGAGATATTTTTCATTATCAGACAGTCCAACATTTAAAACTTTGTTTATATCCATTATTGGAGAGACTATAAGAAAACCAGTACTCTCATACACCATTGGTGAGAGTGTACATTAGTACTAGATTTTTAGAAGACAATTTGCAATGGCTATCAAAATTTTATATATATGGTCCTCACTGGTTTTGCTCAGTGGTTAGAGCATCAGAAGAGTCTCAGATTCAATTCCAGTCAAGGGCATGTACTTTGGTTGCAGTTCAGTCCCCGGCCCTGGTCAGGGTTGTGCGGGAGGCAACCAGTCAGTATGTCTCTCACATCAGTCTCTCTCTCTCTCTCTCTCTCTCTCTCTCTCTCTCTCTCCCTTCCCCTCCCTCCCTCCCTCTCCCACTCTATCTTAAAATAAATGGAAGAATGTCCTCGTATGAGGATTTAAAAAATAAAATATATATATGATCTGATCCAGCAAGTCTACTTCTTCTCATTCTAGGAATTTATTTTAATGATATACAAATGAACAATGATATATAGATATATACAGGTGTTCATTGTAGCATTACTTTTAATGAGAAAACAGGTAATGGAAGATGGGAACAACCGAAACGTCTGTGGTAGTGTTAAACTGTATCCCCTCCCTTGGAGTGTGGGCTGCAGCAGTGACGCCCATCCATGGGATGTGGTGGAAGCGATGGTAAGACTTTCAAGACTGGGTTATAAAAAGCATTTTGTTTTCTTCCTCATTCTGCCTCTTGAATTACTCACCGTGGAAGAAGCCAGCTACCGTGTTGAGAACACACTGAAGCCGCTCCATGATGAGACCCGCGTGCAGGAACAGGCCTCCCTCCGACAGCCGTGTGAACGGGCCGCCTTGGAAGCAGAATCTCCAGCCCTAGTCCAGCCTTCAGAGGACTTCAGCGCCAGCTGGTTTCTTGGCTGAAACCTCATGAGAGACCCCGAGCCAGAAGAACCCAGCTAAGCTGCTTATGAATTCATTCCAGGGGACCACGAGATAATAAATGTTTCTTTAAGCTGCTAAGTTTTGGAGTTGTTTGTTAAGCAACAATAGATAACAACTATAATGTTAAATAATAAAAAGCTTGTTAATAAAGTATTGTATTGATGTGCAATGGAATTCTTTGCAGCTGTTAAAAAATAGTATCTTCTGCTTGAGATGTAGAAAGCTAGAAAGAATACTATCCCCACACTTCCAAGATTTAAAAAATCTGGACAGTATGTATATTCACAACTTTTCTTGAACTCATGAGAGAGTTGAGTTCACAAGGCAACATCTAACCTGAAATTTAGGGAAAAACATTCCCTTCCCCTTCTTCTTCCTCCCACTTCTTCCCCCCATAGGCAAGCATCTCCTAAACTCTGAGGGTCCCCACAAGGCTTGCAGACGGGAGCATGGGGCAGCAGGAGCTCATCCCAGGTAACCCCCTGACCCTCTCTCCAAGGCTCCCTTTTCTCTGATGTCTCAGTGAGCCAAAGCGGCTCAGCCCAGGCTCATTTCCCCACCTGGTCTCTCTCCTGTCGCTTCTTCTGTCCTAGGCCCTGCCTCGTTTCACTGTCCCCAGCTTTAATAAATATCCTCTAACATTCACCTGGGCTCGTGTTGTGAAATTTTTCCTGCACGAAGTCAAGAACCCACACACTCCTGGCCAGCCCTAGGCAGACCGTTCAGGGCCAGGTCCTCTTTCCGGTAACATTCCTCTTAAGTGCACACAGAACATTCAACGAGACAGACCATTGTTAGGGAGATCCTATAGGCTACGAATGTATATTCTTCACTCAGACTCACAGGCCTGAGAGATAGACCACCACTGTTTTGTCTAATTAATAAGGGAAGGATATAAGACATGAAAAGGTTGCCTTTCAAAGATATTGAGTATTTTTTGTGTTCCAGTAACTTTGGGTTTGTAAAACCACCTGGGAGTAGGTACTATTTTCCCCATTATACAGCAGAAGAAACCGAGGCTCAGTGTGGTTACCCAAGATCGTACCCTACTGAGTTGGAAGGGCCAGACTCAAGCCCTGATCTCCCTGACTCCAAGCTCACACTTCTGCTCCTCATAGGTGAGGACGTCTGTCCGGTGAGGCCCCAGAGGAGATGGCCCTGAGGATCCAGAAGGTCTGCCTTGGGCATTTTGTGAGTACACACAAAGAGAGACCATGCTCTGGCCTCTTGAGTTTTCAGACTCCTGCCCACCCTCGTGACTGAAGGGCTGATTGTGTCCTGGCTGAGAAGAGTCTCTGGATTTACAGAAATGTGCTCGGAATCGTAGAGGAAAACGGAGACCCAACTTGAGAGAGAAGGGGCTGCCACAGATCCACCACCTCTTGTGGAGGAATGGTCTCAGATGCCCTTCAAATTGGGGGGAGGGACATCCCCATCCCCTATTCCCCACCCCCACCCCCACCCTTGCCCTCACAAACACTAGAGGCAGGGATGAAAGTGCCTACTTTCCCCCAAGGCCCGCTGGCGGTTTCCCTACCTAGGCAGCACCACTTGGGAGGGCTACTTCCCATTCAGCTACTTCCCATTATGCAAATGACCTGGGTTTCTCTGCCACAGCGAAGGAGGGGGCCTGCCTTGGAATTAGCCTCCAGCTATTCAGAAGACCCGGTTGTGCTAAGCGTGGCAGCCGCAGAGTGCCAGCCCTTGGTGAGACCCAGGCTCCCCGGGGCTCCCCAGTCATGCCCCGGCAGCGTTCTCCGGTGATGGTGCTCTTCGTGTCCCTGGCTGGTGAGTGACACACATGACTTTGCATAGTGCCCCTGGCATGCCTGGTCCTATTTAACGTAGATGCGTTTTGGTGCCACTGACCAAGGTGAGACAGGACAGACTGTGGGCAGCCGTCATAGCTTTAGTTACCCAGGGTACTTGGCTCTGAATGTCTCCTCCTTATTACCTTACACACTTGGGCACACTTCATTTCTTCCAAAGGCTTTCATGGTGTGGACTTGTTTTCTGTGAGTTAGGCAGAGTAGGTGGCAATCCCAGAAGACAGTGACACTGTCCCTGGTTCCAGAGTGGGTTTGGACACCTTCTCAGGGAGAGTTTGTGGAGATCGCTTATGGTTAAGGGAAGGAGAACTGAGCCAGGACTTAGAAACGGGGCTCTTGCTACATTGCCTGGGAAAAGCGCCTCATGTCTTGCTTTTCCTGTTTCTCTCAAATGGAAATGCTGTGTTTATATTATAATACAGTGAAGTGTGAAGATGAATGAGATCTGGTCTGGCAAACCGTGCCATTTCAAAAAGTTGTAAGCCAGGGCATCAAAGATTATTAAATGTTACCATTATACTTCAGACCAGAGAGACCTTCTGGGAAACTGAGCTCTTAATGGCTGTTTTACGTCCCCCATGTCCTGCTTTCACCAAAGTCAGTTTCTCTCTAAGACAGAGTCCTCTCGTGTGTCATGATCAGGTTTGCTGGTTAATCCACAATTCCTAGTAAAGCCACTGAACTGAGCACGTGAGGGACCCAGCTCTATCCACACAGCCCTGCTAACTCGCTCGGAGGGAGGACTCGGTGGCGTGTGAGTGCGACGGGAACTGTGATGGAAACTGGGTGAAGGATCAGGCCAGCTGCCCTGTTCCAGGCTCTTTATTCTCCCGCCACATTTTCAGAATTAGAGTTTTACATTCTTTAGGAGGCAAAAGTGGAAGTCATCATTTCCTTTAGCAGGACGAGCTAATAAAAAAAGCAAAAGATCTCAGTCTAGCAGTAACCTCCAGTGACCTGTATGTGAGAGCCAACTCAATGGCTGACAGATGACTGACAGATTCAGGGATGAAATGGGTGCTCAGTAAATGCAAATGCAGGGTGAGAAGAAATGCTGCAAATTCTCAGAGGTGAACTGACTGAACAAAGTGTGTAACGGGGCCCCATTTTCCACATGAGGGTACTGAGGCTGTTAAGGAATTGCTCATAGCCACTCAGCTAGCAGGTGGCAGCTCTGAACTTTGCATACCGAAAGTCTGGCTTCGAGGTTCATGCTCGGCACTACTGCACCCCCATGCATGGGTTCAAAAAATACTTTTTGAGCCCTGGCAAGTTTGCTCAGTGGTTAGAGTATTAGCCTGTGCACCAAAGGGTGATGGGTTTGATTCCCAGTCAAGTGCACGTACCTGGTTGCAGGTTTGATCCCCCACCCCAGTCGGGGCACATGCAGGAGGCAACCAATCCATGTGTCTCTCTCACATTGATGTTTCTCTCTTTCTCTACCTCTCTCTTTCTCTCTCTCTCTCTCCCTGCTTCCTTCCCTCCCTTCCACTCTCTCTAAAAATCAATGGAAAAAATAATCCTCAGATGAGGATTAACAAAAAAAGGGAAATAATTATTGAATTGGAGATGAAAAAACCATTAGACATTTTTCTAGAAGAGATATTGCTTCTAGATAAACTAGCTGTGTAATCATTATCCAGTCACTTTGCTTCACTGGTCTCAAATTCCTCCCTAATAAAATGAGGGCATTTAAGTTTGTGGCAACCTAAGAAACAAGTCACAAATAATAGGTAATTAAACAAGACAAATGTTCCTTTCTCTCTCATATGAAAACAAGTCTAGAGGAACTCAGATCAGGTCTGATGTGAGGGCTCATTATTGTGGACTCACCATTCTATGTGTAACTTCTGCCCAGAAGGTCTCATGGTTCTAGATGGCTGCTGGAGCTCCAGCCATCACATACAAGTTGCAGGCTGGTTGAAGGAGAAAAAAAGATGGTAATAAAGAAGCTACACAGGTGACTGAGCTCCCTTCAAGCAGCCTTCCCAGAGGCCCACATAACCCTACACTTCTGTTGCTTTGGCTCAAACTCAGTCACCCATTCCCACCCAGCTGGTAAGGAGACTTGGATGTAAGGTCCTTTATTCCAGGCACCAGGTGCTCAGCTTCAAATTGCAGTTCTATTACTAAGGGAAAAGGGGAGACTGGATTTGGGGATATTCGGCCAGCAGTCTGTCACAGGGCTAGAGCCCCTTCTGTTTGAGGGTTCTCTTTGAATCTCAAGTCCCACAGACAACTAATAGAGGTAGGATCTGTGTCTTTTTGCTGAAGGTCTATGGTTAAACTGTGAAATTGTGAGCATAATTGTGCTAAGGGCCCACTCCTACTCCCACACATCAAGAAACAGTCTTCCTGCTGTACTCAGCCGGGGTTGCTTCTGCCGGCTGGGGAGATGCTGAAGAAAGTGCCCTGGGCTAAATATAGTTCCCTGTTCCTGGATGTGGCCACAGTGCTTTTGCTCCCAGCCCTTGCTCCTTACAGCTCTGCAGACACAGTGTAGCCTCCCAGACCTGCCAGGCCTGCTCCCTGCTGCCCCTACCTCACCTCCCCCTTCCCCACACCCTCCTTACGTTCCCATCATGCTGACCCCCGCTCTTCTCCAGACACGCCAGGCTCTGAAGACTCTGTGCACATACACTTCCTCCTACCTGGAATATCGTTTACTTTCTTGTCTGAAGAATTTCTCCTTGTTTGGATTCCTCTCCCCACCCCGTGGCACTCAGGGCCTACTTTAGTAACGACACTTGTGGCACTGAGGAGTGTGGGCCATTTACTTGTCGGCTTTGTGAGGCTTTGAGCCCCTGAGAACAAAATCCTTGCCCAGTGGCAGCATGAAGCTTGGCTCACAGGAGGCTTCTACATTTCCGTGGAACGGGGTGTGGCAGGAAAACCAAATAAAGGCATCTGGAAGGACTGACTATCTGGGAAATACCTAAAGAGGCCCAGTGTGGTCACCAACTTTCCCAGGGCCTGGTCCACGGGTCATCTCTCAGCTCCTCCGGCAGGTTGTAGGAGAACCAAAACCTTCTCGCACCTCTTCCTGCAGCTCCTCCGCTAGAGGAATCCAGCCGTGGGGCAAGGCCTTGGGGTACTCGTTTGCCGAATCTCCTGAACTCTAGAGAGGAGATGCTGTGGGGAGAAGGGCTTGGCAGGTTCATGTGTGGATTCCAGGGCTATTGTGTGTGTGTGTGTGTGTGTGTGTGTGTAGAGGGAGGGTTGACAGATTCTGAGCTATGCCCTGTCCTTGCTTCTGCCCACTGCCCATCTTTGGGGGTCTCAGATAGACCAGTGAATTTGACCTCTATGGGGCCATAGGTTTTATTTAAAAACTGTGACCCAATTTTGACAAAGATTAGTCATATATGTGTGGTCAAATTATAGATTTTGTAAAACCGATTTTTTCTGAAAGTATTATTTCCACTGAGTACCTAACAAACATGTGAGCTTTCTGGGATATATTATCATGCATAGCATACCTACCTCTGTCAGTTTCCATCAAATCACCTGCCGATCTTTTACTTATTCTTTTTTATTTGTTTTTTAATCCTCACCCAAGGATATTTTTCTATTGATTTTTAGAGAGAGTGGAAGGGAGGGAGGGAGGGAGAGAGAGAGAGAGAGAGAGAGAGAGAGAGAAACATCAATGTGAGAGAGACACGTTGATTGGTTGCCTTCCACATGACTCCAACCAGGGCTGGGGATCAACCTAAAATCCAGGTACCTGCCCTTGACTGGGAATCAAACCTGCAACCTTTCGGTCAATGGGTGGACATTCTAACCACTGAGAAAACTGACAGGACACCTGCCAATCTTTTACACCCCACTCTCCTCCAGAGAGATGAGACAGGAGGAGAGGGGCCAGAGAGGAGAAGGAGAATAATATTAGAAAGATATTTCCCAGACTGGTTCTGTAACACACTCTGACATTTTTGGTCCAGCCACCCGCCAGCCAAGCCTTCTGTTCACCACAAAGCCACACTATGTCAAGACACCATGACTGCCATCACCTTCAGCCAGCCCATTTGGTGTACACTTCCTATACACCAAGCACACCTTGATAGGCACCTTGTCCAGTTTGGAATACTGTGCATTCGTGGGCCAATGTGCTTTCCCCCCTTCATTTGAATTCATTCATCATTACTGCCAGGGAGTTCGAATGGTGTTATGAGGAAAGCTCCGCTTTTTAAAGGGTATGCTACTCAGTTGTGATCTGCTTTAGCGCATAAGCCCAAGCTGTACACAGTGGGATTTTATCAAGAACTAATGCTCTCCCCCAGAGAACAAATGGCAAGTGGTTTTCAGTCTCCCAGAGTTCTCTGTAGCAATCTTTGCTTTTTACTACAAGATATTCCTGAAAATGACATTTGGGAGTGAATTCTCTTTCTCCACAATAATAGTATGAACTTAATGGGGCTCCTGTTGGGTTCCCGACTGAGGAAACAGCAACTTGAGTTTAGCCCAAATGAATTATGAAAATAATCTTTCATAACTGTCAGTCTTCAGAACAACCTTGAAAGGAAAATTCTTGCTCTGAGCATAACGTTTCCACACACAGTGTTTGATGAAGGCTGACAAAGTAAACCTACAGCCCATATAGTCCACAACTCTTGGGTAGCATACGTTTCATTTATTCAAATGAACATTTAGATACAACAATGACTCTTTAATAGTAGTCTCAAGTAACTTAATGTCATTAATAATGTCTTTTTGAAAGGCAATTTTAACAGATACTTTTGTCTTTCCCATTTTGTAAGCCAGCTGTATAGAAATTATTCGTAAGTGTTACTACTGGGCTTAAAGTTAGAACTTTTTCAGAAAATAGTCACTATTTCAGCACATGAGCCTTTGAAAGCCCCACCAAGGATCACCATTATGAGGGTTTGGTGAATTGGGGTCACTGCAGGGACACCCTATTATGCTCTCCTCTGCTTTTGTCTCTTCTCTCACTGTTCTTCCTAGTGACACACACCATGTCCACCATCCCCAAATCCAAGGGCAGGCTTTGGTTCAGACAGGGTTCTGAGTCTCAGCTCCAAAATTTACTAGTTGTATGATTATGATTAAATTGATAGAATTTTCTAAACCTGAGTTTCCTCATTTGAAATATTAGGATAAAGATAGTACCAATCAGAGGATTTTTGAGAGAAGTTGATGAAAGATGACCCTTGAACTGAGGTCTGCCATATAGTGTCTGTAAGTTGGGATTTTTTTATTGTTATTATTATGGCAAAAGTGAGCACTTAAAAATTTATTGAGTCCAAGCGGGAGCTAGTAAAGGAGTTTAGGGGTGATTTTGATTAGATATGAACAGCAGGACTCTATAAACACCATCATCGAGGGCACCCCTTTTCCATTTCCCATTGTTTTCCCAAGTCACTGCCCAGCGTTGTGACACTAAATACAACGAAAGCACAGCATTGAAGAGACCAAGGCGCCTCTCACTAGACCTGATTGTAAACTCCCAAGGAATGTCATCTGCACTTTGTCGCCTTTCCTGGCTTGCTAGGTGCCTGGAAGGAGACAGGATAGAACTATTGCTTGAAAAAGAACCAGAGGCCTTCTCCCTTAAGGGATGGCCCAAGAAAGAACCTGTGGCAATAATACATGCTGCTTAATCACCCATGAAGGCTTTCACTTAAACCAACTCTTTTGAGCCTTACAATAATTCTAGGGGGGCTACAATCCTATTACCTTCATTTACCCGTTCAGTTATTCATCCGATCCATAGCCACTTAGTACTTTCTATGCACAGGCACTGGTGGTGGAAAAATATACACAGAGAGCCCACCTCAAGACTGCTTTTAGTCTAGTGGGAAAGATGCATAATTAACAAATAAATCAATAAGTAAACATTTAGCCAGCTGATATGCTGTGGAGCATACTGTCTGGCCAGGTTTATTGTTAAGTATTTGTATTCCATCCCCTTATATAATTGTAAGTTGTGATTAGTGTAGTGACGGCAATAAATGAACTCTAATGGGGAGTCATGGGTGGGGAGCTAGTTCACAGGAGGAGGACAGGGAGGACTCTCCAAGGAGCTGCCCTACAGGGGTGGGCTAACGCAGGGCTGCAGTTCTGAGTAGGCGAAACACAGCTTATTCTTGCATTATTATTCATTGTACTATTTATTTGTCTTCATTATTATTATTATTGTTATTATTTTGTATCCTTATTTATGATTTATCCTCTAGGTAATGATAGCTGGCAATTTAACCTATTTTTGCTCACCCCTTATAAGCCACAACCTAGAGGATAGCCCGCCAGGTATATCAGAGCAATTATGGCTTCATTTTCTTTCTTACTTGAGAAAGGCTGGGCCACTCAAGAGGTTAAGTAAGGAAATAGCAGGAACTGGTCTATATTTAGAAAAACTGGTGGCAAGATAAAAAATGAAAGGTTACTGGGTCTCCCATCACTGGAGGTAATTAAGCATAGAGTAGATGAACACACGGCAAACACTCCTAAGTCCAGTTCACACGTCAGATGAGGGTTTGGACTAGATCATCTTTAAGACTTCTTTTGAATCTGGGATTATATGATTTTATGCAAACTATACAACTCTGCATCTCTTATTGCCATTATTCACACTGCCCCAGCTCTGTCAGCTCATCACAGCCTGCTCCGCCCAGGAACACCCGCTTCCCAGGAACCATCTGGATTCACATTGAAGCTGGGGAATGAAGAGGCATTGGCACTTAGCTGTCTCGCTGAGTGTGATCACTTGGGGGTGTTAGTATCACACCCCTCTAGACAAAGGGGCTGAATGCAGTATGACCACATCCCAGTACAAAACATAGGTATGACCAAAACGTTACAGTTGTGTCCTTGAAGATCTTGGGTGATCTTTACTTGACCATTATATCCTTGTAACTGTCCTCCAAACCTGGAAATAGGCATTTTTAATGAAGAATGGGGGAGGGGCTTTGTGAGCTCTGAGTTGGCGTGTTAACATTTTTGTTCCCTAATTTGCAGTGATTTTGCTTTTTGGCCATCAAGTAAGAGCAGCAGGGTTTCCAGAGATCACAGACTCTCCTCAGCCTACGAGAGCAGCACCCGCGCAGGCCATAGGCAAACCTTCTTTCCTGCAGACAACTAACCAAACGCCTCACAGAACTACAGCAGCAAGCTCCACGGGTGGTCGTGTCACCTCTCCAATAGCTGCCACATCCTCCAACTCTGAGACCTCTCCCACACACACGACGATAAAAACTCTAACAACAACCTCCCTGATAACCACAAACAGCACCCCATCCACCAGCCCAGCAATGCACACTCTGGCCACACCCAACACCTCACACACAGCTGCTCCTGTCACTGAGGCTACAGTCGGCCCCAGTGCAGCCCCTGGTTCACTGCCACCCTCCATCACCCCACCACCACATACAACTAGAACCAACCCATCAACCAGCAGCCACACAATGGGGAAGACCACCCAACCCAGTAACCAGACCACCCTTCCTGCAACTTTGTCCACCTCACCACACATTAGCACAACCAATCAGACGCCCTCCCAACCCACCCATGCCCCAGGAACAACCACAGCTGCACACAATGCCACCCAAACAGCCTCACCTGCCACCATGGCTCCTCCAGGGCCCACCCTTGCACCTCAGCCATCACCAGCCAAGACTGGAATTTATCAAGTTCTGAATGGAAGCAGGGTCTGTATCAAAGCCGAGATGGGGATACAGCTGGCGGTTCAAGACATAGAGTCGGTAAGTTTGGGCCATGGGACTGTAACACGGTCTACAACAAGTCTGAATGGAGTTTGCCTTCTAAGAATGAGCATGCATTCCCCTGCATCCCGTGTCTTTTAATGAAATAAATAGCTGTGAGCACCCCTGCCTCCAAGGTGCTCCATTAAAAGGTGAATCTGTTTTAGAATATGTATAAAAATAGAAAATGACAGCGACTTGGAGAGAGGAAGGCACTGACCTATGTCTATGCACACCTGTCCCGTTTAGCCAGCCCAGGCAGTGTTGGGGTGTGTTCGGTGTGGATCCCAGCCTGGCCCTACCCCGTCCGATGACCTCCAAGCCTCAGGGACTTTCCTGTGAAATGAGAGGTTTGGATGAGGTGGTCTCCATGGTTCCAGCCAGCTCTGACACTAATCTAGAAAATTGAGATTAGCAAGAGGATTGGAGGGGCTGGGGTGACACAGAGATTATTTGATTTCATAAGGAATCACCATAAAAAGTGTACTTTCTTTTTTTGCACAGTTTTTATGATTTCAAATAAAATTTTTACATTTGCAACAGAAGTGCATTGCACAGCAAACCTTCCCTGCAGTACCTTTCAACATGTGTACTTTACAATAATCACGTCCCACACAGTTTATCAGGAATATACCTGCCAAGAGTTAGCTACCAAGGAGCTCCTCTCTGTGGGAGAAATTCTTTTAAAAACCTCTTGAACGTAACAGTTTGGAAATGTGAGGGGTCCTCCCGAGACTCTGAAATTCCCAAGTGAACACCCACTAGCCTTGAGTGCTCACTTTCTAATCTGTGCTCTGGTTTCCTAGCTGGAGTTTTCTTCTGTATCTCCACCAGCTGATCTATTTTATTTGCTCTAGGTTTTTTCACCTCAGAAATACTTCAACATCGATCCCAATGCAACCCAAGTCTCTGGGATTTGTGGCTCCCGAAATTCCAACCTTCTCTTGGATTTCCAGGGCGGATCTGTGAATTTCACATTCACCAAGGTGAGGACTGGGCTTCCACATCGCTTTCCCTTTCCCTCCCCCCGGGGCCCACTTCACTTAAGTTCCTGGGGAAACAGATCTCAGAGCCTTTGAGATGTTCTCTGATAAGAATGAAGGAGATGGAGAGGAGGAAAGTGTCAACATCTTATGTTTGCCTTCGCTCCCCTTCAGCCTCCTCTGTGCAGCTCAGAAGGCCTTTGATGCCTTTTAGGGGAGCCTTGGCCTTGGGAAACCTGGCCACAGGTGCCCTTTGCAAACTACCCAAAGGAGGAAGTTGTAGAGATGAATAGACCCAGAGGAATTCCCAGTGGCCACCAGAGAAACAAGATTATTCTAAGACCAAAACCAAATGTCAGGATGGGTCTTTCCAGCCATAGCAGACAAAATTCAGGGACTAACCAGGCCTGGGTTTTCCAGACCATCTCCTGGGAGGGCGCAAAACAGCGTGGAATGGAAAGGGCATGGGCCTGAGGTCAGAGTGTCAGCTCTCAATTTGGTTGTTACTTGTTCTCCTCGTGACATCGCTCAACCTCTCCGAGCTCTATCTTATCACTTGAAAAATGGGGGCAGGAAATTAGAGATCACCTCTGTAAAGAGCATTGTCTGATACGAGGAAAGTAGATGTTCAATAACCAGGAACTATGATTCAGCTTTGAAAGAACTATGAGAGAGGGAGAGAGGGAGGGAGGGAGAAAGAGAGAAAGGGAGGGAGGGAGAAAGAGAGAGAGAGAGATTTGTTGTCCCACTCAGCTATGCATTCATTGGTTGGTTCTTGTACATGCTCTGACTGGGGATTGAACCCACAACCTTGGCATATCAGGACGATGCTCTAACCAACTGAGCTACCCAGCCAGGGCTGCTAATTTTTTTATTTTCCCACTTTCTAAAATAACAAGATGCTTTTAATTCATCCAATTAACAAAGATTTTTAAGTAGGATAATACCCAATGTTGGTAAGAACGTACATAGCCAAGTGCTCTCAACATTTCTGGAAGGAGTTTGCATTTGTGCCTATGACCCCAGGTCTTCTGTGTCTTATTCCGCATCTTGCAGTGAAAACATTTTCCCACTTTTTTTTTTTTTTTTTTGTACGTACATGCCCCTAGCGGAAACCGAACCCCGGACTCTCTGGTTCGCAGGCCGATGCTCCAACCACTGAGCCAAATTGGCCAGGGCCATTTTCCCACTTTTGATGAAGACTGATGTGAAGAAAGATTTCATTTTTCCATTAAGTCTGCATAAGAAAAACATTAGAGTAAGTACAAGATAAGTGGCAACTAACAAGGCCTCTGTGGTGAGGAGATGAAGGAAGGCGAGGGTGTGCCCGTCCTACCCAGCGGGGCAGCCACTCCACAGCTGTGGCTGGTGGTGCCAGATGTAGGGCTGGCATGCACCCTCGGGGACTTGTCACTGTCTTTATGGTGAGCACTGCCCTACGGAGCCAGTTGTTAAACATTTCACACACCACCTCTCTCAAGTGATAATGAGACCGATGTTGCCCCATCTTTTGATTGTTCAAGAGAAGACAAAAACTAATATCCTTTTATAAAAGCACATGATTTTTGAAGTGTCGACAAGATATGTTTTAAAAATTGAACACTCTCCTAGCCAAACAAAATATAGCTGTGGGTCAGACTTGGCCTGTGGACCCCAGCGCAGTGGGTGCCTTCTGCCCTAATGGTGGGCGGTGTGAAATGCATGCAGGCAGGAAAGCCAGCTAGATTCTTCCACAAAAGAAATGGGCTCAACAGTTCAGTCGGCCACTTTTCCAGTATTGCTATATTCTGCACCAACCAGCGTTTCTCAACAGACACAGTACGTAGTAACATTTGGGGTCAGATGCGTCTCTCTGGTGGGGGCTGGCCTGTGCCTTATGGGGTGTTGATCACCATCCCTGGCCTCAACCCATTAGATGCCAACCCCAGTTGTGGTAACTCAACGTGTCTCCAGATAGTGCCAGATGTCCTCAACCAGGCAAAATCACCCCTGGTTGAGAACCTCTAGAGAAGAAGAGAACCTTGAAAAACAGAAGTATGTTAGTTATAATGTAAAAGATGTTAACCAAGTTGTGTGGTGATAAATGGATGCTGATTAGCAAGACTGATTTATCAACCAATTAATCAACAAGAATTTACTGAGCACCTAGTTCGTCCTCAACACTGAGCTAGACATGACGGGGAAAAAAAAAAAAAAAAGAAATGTGGGCTATAGTTCCAGGTTGCAAGTCATGGACAATAATTTGTAATTTTTTAAATTGAATGATAGTGACAGAAACATAGAGAAAAATCTGCCTCCTAAACTGTCACTTGATGTTGTTGTTCAATCAAGACTCACGTGATCCGTCTCATTTCCCTGTGACCATGGACAAGTTGCTAGCTCGCTCTCTCACCCTTTCCTCTCCGATATAATGGGGCCAACCAATAGCGGTTTGTCAGCTGCTGTGGGGGTGAACTGGGCTAGCCTGTGCGCAAGTGCTGAGCATGGTTTCTGGCCCACAGTCGGGCTAGGAGAGGTGGGTTTCCTTTCTCATTTCCCTCAGTTTCTCTTTTTTTTTAAAGAACTGAAAACTTTCCATGACAATGTCTCATTTGACTCAAGTGATTTGCTGAAAGTTATTCAGACTCTTCAGATGCAAGATAAATATACTTCCCCTCCCCTGCCAGCTTCCTTCTTGCCCAGACAGCTTGTTTTAAAAACACCTTTCAGTAACTTTGTGTAGAGTTCACTTCTCTGTGCTCAGCACTATGCCTTCCTCATTCACCTGGTTGGCAGGCAGCCCCAAATGGGGGAGAAACCAGTCACCCAGCGGGGTTTCCCAGAGCTACCAGGGCCTTGGCCCCCTGAGGTCTGGAAATCTGCTGCTAACCCACCTGTGTTGCCGTTGCCGTAGGGCCTTCCTGTGCCCTGTGCCCTGTGCCCTGTGCCATCCTCTTAGCTTACAGACTCCTGAGAATGGCTATCAGTGTTCAATGTTAACGCCTGCAGAGGGCGCTATTTAGAACTTCCGGAGTGTGTGGTACTGGTTTATGCCCTGTTTTCCCTTTCCCTCTGCCTGGAATGCCCCTCCCATCTCTCAGCCCTCATTTGCATTTATCCTTTAAGTCGCCCCACCCCACCTCCATCCCAGGTAAGACTGGGAGACTTTCTTCTCTTTGTTCCTTGAACCTCCAACCGTTGTTTCCCCACCTCCATTAGTGCCCTCAGCACACATTCTGCCATCCTGAAGACAGTTTATGACATTGACATTTCTCTCTCTAGCACCCAGCCCTGGCTTGGTGCATAGTACATAGCAAATGTTTGATAAAGATAAACTGATAAAGGAGTGAATATAAATTTCACAGAGAACTGAGCCACGGTGTCAAAAAGTAGGCCAGGAGCTCTAAAGAAATAGCCTCTTTGGCTTCCTTTTGCTATATTCAGAGCAAAGGTTTATTGATGTATTCATGTAATGCTGAGCAAAAAAGACCTGATTCATGTTGAAGGCAAAATTCACACCCTGAACATCTATGACCATAAAACTCCTACAATAGCCCTGGCCGGTTTGGCTCAGCAGTTAGAGTGTTGGCCTGTGGTCCAGAGAGACCTGGGTTCGGTTCCTGCTAAGGGCATGTACCTCGGTTGCAGTTTGTCCCCGGCCCTGGTTGGGTCATGCGGGTGGCAACCACTCGATGTGTCCCTTTTACGTCGATGTTTCTCTCTCTCTCTCTCCGTCCCACTCTATCTGAACAAAAAACAAACAAACAAAAAATGTCCTTGGGTGAGGATAAAAAAAAAACTCTTACAATACATTTTGCAGAAGTGAAGGAGAGGACCCTGGGCCTGCGGTCATTGGCATACCTCCTTCCTGAGCAGGCTGGATTGACTGGCTTGCTCCAGACCCCGTCTGCTCTGGACCCCGCCCTTTGCTAGGGAAGATGTTTTGGTTCCCGAGGAGTCAGGCTACCTTCGATGAGATATTTCAGAGCTCTCTTCCAATGCTGGCAGTGAGGGGCCACTGTGTCAGCATCCCACTGGTGGAATAGTGAGGTGGGACTTTTGCAAATGGTCTGTTCAAATGGACATGCTGTATCCAGACAACGTGGAGTCCTTGGCCCCTTTGGTCAATGTCGATGGGTACACAAATCATTTTCATTTTGTTTTTGAGGATCTGATATGGTAGATGTTTGTCATTCTCCAACCCAAACCCCAAATAAGAAAAAACATCTGGCAGAGAATGGCCATGTGGGTGTAGGCGCCAAAGAAAAAGCGGACAGTATACACTGAGCAGTGTGTGGCATGTCATTTCCCTGGGGCTTTGGGTTAAGTCTGACACCTGCCTGAAGCTTCTCAAGGCCCCTGCCCCCTTCCTCTGCATCATCGACTCCTAACCCCCAAAGATGAGCTTTCACTTCTTCAATCAATCGAGTTGCCTAAGCTTAGCTCACTTGCTTGTTCTCTCTTTTTCTATTGTAGATGTGAGCTCTAGGAAATATATATGCATAATTTGACCTCACTGAGAGAGTTTTATTGGAAAAGGGCAGTTTAATTTATTATCGTCATTGTTAATAATGCCAGGTAAAATTTGAGTAAAGGCTCTGTGATAAGTTGTTTACATGGATTCCTTTACTTAATCCTCATACCAACCTAAGAGGTGAGTCTGTTATTATGATCCCCGTGCTTCTACTGAATAAGTAAAAAAAAAAACTAAATTTCGAGGATGTTCACAAAGATTCGACCACTCAAACTAGGCTGCAAGGGAACAGAGATGTTTTCAAAAGAGTATTAAAAAAGTGTTAGCAACACTTTACTCCCCCAAATAGGAGGTAAGCCACTCTGTAACATTTCATAAACAACTGATTTGTTTAGCAACCTTGTTCCTCATTGGTGGTGTGGACCAGGAGTCCACAAGCTATGGCCCCCCAGACCAGATCCGGCCCGTCACCAAAGAATGCACCATCTGCAGGCTCAGAATGGCTTTTACATTTTTAAATGATTGGGGGGAAAGAAGAATACTACGTGACCCATGAAATACATATGAAATTCAGACTTCGGTGCCCGTGAACGGAGTTTCTGGAACGTGGCCACACTGGTTGTGTGTCCAGGGCTGCTTGAGCATTACGATGGCTGTCGGGAGGTTGCTACGAGGACCCAGAGCCTAAAATACTTCCCACCTGGCTCTCCACAGAAAAAACAAAACTTGCCAGCTCCTCCTACAGAAGAAACTTCAGCCCTATTACCATTCAAATAATGCCACATTCTTAATTTTCAAGTACAAAAATGCTTGGCTCCACTTTAAATAAGACACTTGTATACCCTTTGAGAACCTCCTGTGACACCACAACTCTGCAGAAACAGTGGGCACAACTGTCCAGATAAGACCCATTTGATCTCATCAGCATAGAGGACAGGGTGGGGCAAAAGGAGATTTAGAGTTGTGAGTTTGAGAAACACAGTTTATTCTTGTATTATTATTTATTAATTCTTGTATTCTTTTCCATACAAACCACTGTAAACCTACTTTTGCCCCATCCTATATAGAAAACATGAAATCTCAAGAAAACTAAACATCCCCTTCCTCTTTTGTTCACATGAGTTCAACTAGTAAATGCTTTTCCTTTACCATAAAAATAGACATCAGCTCAGTCCCAGTCAATGTTGGGTTGTTTTGACCCAGTGGAAATAGAAGGACACCTGTGTACAGGCTCCGGATTCTGTTGTTACCTCATGCAGATGAACTCACAGTGAATGGGAGCACGCTGCCACCTGCGGCCACCTGCTGCCACCCGCGGCCACCTCGCTCCTGGCCTGAGCCTGAGAGAGCACTGATTCTCCATTCTCGTGGAGCAGGACTGGCCCTTCCTACCAGGTCTGGCTTCGTGAGCGCGGGGCCCGTGCAATCAGAAGGACTCATCTTTGGTTTATTGCTTTGCTGTCACCTCTCAAAATCCTTAAATGATTTTTGAACAAGAAATCCTACATTTTTATTTTGGCCCCACAAATTATGTAGCTGGTCCTGCTTCCAATAGATGGATATGTATGGGCAGCTGCATTTCAGGGAATGTGAAAGGAAGTTCTTGCAGAATGAATTTTTATCTGTGCTCAGATTCCAATGGAGGAAAATGTAGGGCAGGATCCCGTAGACAAGGTCTTGCTTTGTCTGAACTATAAACAGTGGGAATCCAGGTAGATGCTTAACTTCTCTGAGCCTCTTCGTTCTCAGCTATAAAATGGACTAATACTATTTATTCTGTCTCAGGGAGTTGTTGCAAAAATCAAAGGAGGCAATGTAGGTGAAATCCTATACTTAGTAAGTTCTGAAACCTTTACGGAAATACAAAGCATCCTCTCTTCATGTGAGAATAGATCAAGGAGGTACCACTGGAAAAAGGAGATTCCAGGAGGTCTCCCACGGGGCCCAGAGCTGGCCTCAGTCTCTCTCTCCTGCTCCTCAAGTCAGTCTCACACTACAGCCCAAGCAATTTCCAAAAACAAAGTCATGTTCATGTCACTGTGTTGCTTAAAACCCTTCCTTGGCTCCTCTCTGCCCTGAGGATGGAGCAGGGGTCTTGCATAAGTGACTTCAGGCACTGAAGTACATGTAAGTGTCTCTTGTGCTAAAAGGGAACCCAAATAAAACCTGAATAAACGGTATGTGAAAGCAGCCCAAGAAGGGACAAGATCACAGATGTTTCTCTCTCAAATGAGTGGATGGTCCAAGCACATTGTTCAACCAGCCTCTGAGACCTGAGGCTGAGCACCTCGAAGGAAGGAGCCAGGTCTTATTCTTCTCCCCAGACTTAGAGCAACTGGTCTAAAGTGAATATAAGAGAGGATAAAGGCTAGATTGGGAGATAGGCAGCTTGGGACCATATCTATCTGCCACCTATTAGGACTATGACCTTGGGCAAGTCACTAAGTCTCCATTTCCTCTAATAAGGGTTGTCATAAGTGTTAGAAGGCACAGCATAGTAAGTGCCTGCTACAGTACCTTGCACAGGTAAGAAGTCAGTACATGGTAGGTGAATTCAAGGAATTAGCAGATCTAGAGGTCAGTGTATCAATAGCAGTGACCTTCCCGACAGTTTCTATTTCTAAACCCTTACATTGGGAGAGGAATTATCATTTCATCCACAAATGATATACAAATGGGCTATAATGTGGTCAAGATTATTATTGTTAATTTTCTTTAATGCTTAGATTTGTATTTTCTAAAGGCAATTCAATTTTAAATTCTGATTGTCCTACCATTTTTTGCACATTTTTTTTTTTTATCTTCACCGGAGGACATCTTTCCATTTTTTATTCAGACAGAGTGGGAGGAAGAGAGAGAGAGAGAAACATCGACGTGAAAGAGACACATCAAGTGGCTGCCACCCACACGACCAACCAGGGCCGGGGATAAACTGTAACCGAGGTACATGCCCTTGGTGGGAACTGAACCCAGGTCTCTCTGGACTGTAGGCCGACGCTCTAATTGCTGAACCAAACTGGCCAGGGCTTTTTTGCACATTTTTTAGCACAATTTTCTAATGAATATTTTAAAGCAATAGCACTGTAAATCACCTACTTTAAAAAACAAAAGCTTCTTTTCAACTTAATCTTTTATATCTCAATTTAGTTCCCTTTAATGTTTCATACCCTCAGTCTCTCCAGAGGTTTTAGGGCTGTTTTGTAACTTGTTTGTTTTGTTTTTCCAAAAGGACAATCTCTGGATAAAATGTGGAGCACTGCTTCATGTTTCTGAGCACAACTACCTGGGTCCTCTTTAGAGAACACCCTGCGATCTCAGAGTAAAACAATTCTTCCCAGAATCACTCACTGTGGCCCTAGGCAACCACTTTGGTAATAGGAACCCATTAATCTGTTTAAAGAACTTGATACTCTACCCAGAAAATGAAAGCAAAATTTTGCAGGCACTATTTTTCCTAGAGGGTTTATGAACCCCATAAAGTCCACTCATGGCAGACTGAAGGATGGGTGATCTCAGTTTGAACACCTACCTTAAGACATTAATTCAAAAACTCACTGCATGCTCCTCCAACCCCTCCAGTTTCCAAATGGATTTACATTTTCTAGGGGGAGAGTTGGCCCAACTGAAGGCACTCAGATTGTACTAGTGACATTTTAATTTCAAGCTCTAGCAACAAGTGTGTAGTAGAGAATTTGGGGCCAGAGCAAGCCATTTTTTAATGTATTGTGTAGTATATATATATATATTTTTTAAAATTTTAAACACAATCATGGCTTCATACCAACACACCCCAAACCTCCATATCAAGGATTTAATAGCTGGAATCCTGCCTAAGCAAAGTTTGTACACCAGAATCATAAGCATAGAAACAGAGGTTACCCAATGATTAACACACTGATGTTTTACAGGATGAAAACTCCTATTATATCAATGAAGTGGGAGCCTATTTGACCATCTCAAATCCAGGTAAGAAGTTAGAGAAGGCTGTTATACCAGCAAGGACACTGTTCCTGGTTAGTTCATTCTTTATCCCATCGAATCCTTGAATCTTTGATGCTGCTTTGAGAGACAGATTGAGAGAGTAACCTACAGTACATATGATTTGGGGGGAACCTAGTACATCTTTGTGTACTTCAGTTTGCTCATCTGCTCATGGAGGAGGTTTGACTACATTATGTCAGAAATCATTATCAGCAACAGTAAAGAGTGTAGTGACCTTGGATAGATTTGTTGTTGATGGTTCAGTTTATTCCCTATTCTTGGAATCATGCATTCATTCCACAGAAATGTAGTTGGTGCCTACTAGGTGCCAGGCCCTGGAATACACTGGGAATCCATTATTTATTTATTTTAAAATATGTTTTTACTGATTTTTTAGAAAGACAGGAAGGGAGAGAGAGAAACATCAATCAGCTGCCCCTGCAGGCCCCCTACTGGGGATCCAGCCTACAACCTGGGCGTGTGCCCTGATTAGGGTCCAACCAGGACCTCTCAGTCCATGGGACAACACTCAATCCACTGAGCCACACCGGCTGGGCCTGGGAATCCATTATTATCTCAACATACAGTCTCTGTTCTCAGGGAGCTTACATTCTAGAAGGTGGGGATAGGACCATAAACAGATGCATTAAATTAAAATACTCAGTTAAGTAGTGATAAGTTCTATGAGCAAAATACAAGCAGAGTGGGGTGGAGAGGACTGGAAAGTTATTTTGGGTAGGACCTTAGGGAAACCCTCAAGGGAGGAAGGTCTCTCTGAAGAGGTGAGACTTGCGCAGAGAGATATGAGGACTTCTGGGCCTGGGGGAGCTCTTTCCAGGTGGCAGGAGAACAGATGCACAGGCCCTAAGGAGTGAACTTGCTGGTGTGTTCAGGGACCAGCAGGGGCCAGTGAGCAGATCAGTAGACGAGGTCTGAGGGGCAGGTAGGCCAGGGCATGCAGGGCCTACGGGCAAGGAAAGATGGGGACTTTGGAATTTATTCTAAAGTGTGAAAGGATGCCACGGAGGGTTTGGTGTAGAAAAATGATATATCAGATTCATATTTCTAAAGGTTCACTTTAGTTGCTATATGGAGAATGGCCCATAGAGGGGCAAGTTGAGAGAACTTCTACAGTGTTCGCTCCTAGAAAAGTAATGCTCCCAATCAAGTCGGGGAGTTTCTCGGAGGCCTCAGATGTTTCTATGGAAAGCCCGGATTTAGATAACAAATGGTTCTGAGCACCTCCTCTGTGCCAGGTACTGTACTAAGAGTTTCATGTCTGTTGTCTCCTTTTCAAAATTTTATTATCTTAGTAAGGGACTTATACTAAAGAAACACACCAAGAAATGAAAATGCGGAGAAATGTCTATGTTAAATATCAGCTATATTGATATTGTTCAAGAGGATGTTGTCAATGATTACTGGTAAAATGTAAGTGGGATGTCATAGTCAACAACTCACTCCCATACATCAACTCACTTAGACGAGGATACTTGTATAGGCTGGGAATAAATACTGTGAATGCTGACATAAATTAACTAATGTTATCACTAGCCATGGGCCAAATTTTAGCCAGTAATAGGGTAGTGATGTCTCAAGAGGCAGGGGAAGGGAAAGACAGTACAGAAACTAATTTAGAGGCTGAGGAAGGGGATCAAAATAACGCCAGGTCCCACTAAGCAAGGCTCAGCAGCAGCAGCAGCAGGACCTGTGCACAGCATGATAGCGCAGAGATGACAGTTCTCATGTAGGTGGCGGTGGTATGAGTCAGAGTAATTAGCTGGAATGACCATTGCAATGTTAGTAAGGGTGGAAATAGTAGACTACCCTAGGATATAATGCATGATACAGTAGTGTGCACAGATAATTCAGTACATCATGTAGGACACGTGCATGTACAAATGCAAGACTCTACAGTAACTCCAGACAGAGCACCAGAGAAAGTTCCCAAAAAGCAAGAACAGAATTTTGCATGAGGAGAAGGCAGAACTCCAGAAAGCCATATCGAAGAGAAGGCCAGTTAACTACACACGGACCACACAGCAGTAGCTGTAACTCGGTAGGTATATGCCAAGATGCATATGTCTATCTTTCACCTTTGTGTTTTCAGGGAAAATGTACCAGGGAACGAAGAGTCATGTGATGCTGTTTGAGACTGTGATTGGGCATTCCTTCAAGTGTGTGAGTGAGCAGAGCATCCAGCTGTCAGCCCAGCTTCATCTGAAAACGATGAATGTCCAACTTCAGGCCTTTGATTTTGAAGACGATCACTTTGGAAATGGTAAGTCAAGGGTTCATCATGTCACAGACATAAACTTCAGAGATCCGTGGGTAGTTTCAAGGTTTTTATTTGTCTGCTTTTTGTCTGAAGCTATCAAAGGGACAAGAATCACATGAGCTTCCTAGAACAGTATGATTACACAAAGCTCTTAGGGCTAAATTTCTCTGGCCAATTCTCCCTCCTACCATCTCTTTATGAGTCAATACCAGCCTCGGAACCAGACACTTTAACCACTTATGTCTACTGCTTTCCCACAGCAGAATACATTCTCCTTGTCTGACCAAAACACATATTCTGAATCGTTTAAACACACACACACACACACACACACACACACACACACACACACACACACAGTATCAGTAAATAGGTCAGAAAACACCATCTGCGACCTCCCTTTATAAGCTGTTGAGTACTAGTGAGCTCAGGTATGTTTGGAGAACACTTTAAAGATCCTGAGTGTTAGTGATGTCTAAAATTCAGAATTTCAGAATAGATCCTTTCCCACTTGCAAAAGGAAAAGAGAAAAATGCCATAATTTAAGATAGACATGCACTCAGTTGGACTCCCTTCCCAATCACAAACTGTTTCCTCATAGTCTGTGTAGTTTCCATGTAACTTCTGCTTTGAATTTTAACCACCACAGAGGGAAGCAGGTCCTAGAAAGAAGGCCAACAGCAGACCAGGGTAACTTTCCCCAAAATCCCCTGTTGCCCTGCTGGGAAAACAGTGTTCCAAGGATTTCTATATACGTCCAGGAATTCAACTCCAGTTTCTAGAACATCCGTTTCATAATAACTCAAGTGTAAATGCTCAGCCTGATCAAAGAGAACGGATATCCCAAACGGTACACTCCTGGCTCCCGCATTCTCAGCTCCTCCTCCCTAAAATCCTGGAGCCCGCGCAAAGCTTCTCGGGTCAGGAGCCCGGGCTGTTTAGCAGCCCTTCTAAGAAGCACAGAGTTTGATAGAAAACTCTGGCCGTGTGATTTGGTGCAAGTCCCTGTTTCCAGAGTTGGGAGCCATGGTTCCAGTGCTTGCCCTAGCTTGGGGGTCAAGACAGAGTTCTGCTCCTGACCGACCCTCTACTAACCCAGTGTTTCTCACAGCTGGACCTGCCTCCCAGCAGCATCAGAATGACCTGGCCCCACCTCCAACCCACTGAATCATAACTTCTTGGGTGTGGGGCTGGGTGTCTACAATTTCATACACTCCTTAAGTGATCACAGGCACTCAGTCCAGATCATTGCGCTGACCCTTTCTATCCTGGTTTGCACCCATCGGTATGTCTGGGGCAGTCGGTGGGAGGCCTGGCAGCTCCCTCTCTCCCTTGGTTTCCTTTGCGAAACCAGGGCAGGCAGGGACAGGATCGATTCCCAGCATTGTGGCCAGCCTGTAACACCTGTTACTCTGACTTCAGTTACAGCGGATGAATGCTTCAGTGACAGAAACAAGAGAGAAATTCCTGTGGCCGTGGGCCTGAGTATCGCAGGACTGATTGTCATTTTGCTAACAGCAAGCCTGGTGGCCAGAAAGAGGCCCAGTAGAGGATATGAACCCATGTAAAGCCAGCTTCTTCAGAATGTGCAAGGTTAAGGCCTTGGGAATTCTGGCTTCTTATTCAGCCTAAAGTGAAGGGATCAACTTTTCTAGTTGCCTGGCCCAACCTCCCAATCTGATTAGGAACACAGCCTTCCACCAAAAGGCAGCCGCCTCCGTGCCACGTGGGCTCCAGCTCTGCCTCCACATCTGGTGATACGAGGCTGCTGGAGCCTTAGGAACAAGAGGCAGGACATGAGTAGGGTGCTTGTGAGGACAAAGCAGATACCCGAAGGGAGACTGTGGGAAAGACATTTTCATGTTGCTCTGGTTTTTCCTGTACATTTTTAAGAGTCTTGCTATCCAGCAATTTTATAGATACTACTTTTTAAAAAAACCAACCCATTTCAAAATACATTCTAAAGTGATTTTAAACTCCTGGATTTTGCCCAAACTTTCATTTACTTAAATCACAGATGGTCTTAATAGACTATTATTTTAAAAAAGACATATTTTGCACTACTGTAATGTTCTATTAGTTAAAAACTAGAAAGCTTTCCAACGTCTCTCTTTCTTTTTTAATGTAAAGCATGTACCAAAGATCTTGGCAAACAAAAGAAGTTCAATAAATGGTAGGTCTCTGATTCCTTCACCTTCATTTGTTGTCTACCTTCTTAACACATTTTTTTTCTGCTTTGTCTCTATTTTTCTTTGATTCTAGTCTATCCTTGTAAATGTGTTGATCGGGGCCCTTGTGGCACAGCTTGAAAACAGTCAGAACTGACCAGCAGGAGAGGTCGGTCTACTCGGGTCATCACCCACTTCCCTTTTTTAGCGCACATTTACCAAAAAAAAAGACAAACCAGGAAATTCCTGATTGGGAGTGATTGATATCTGGAGGAAAAGTTCTATTAAAATAAGGCTCAGAATGTTATTCATGGTTTTCTATAACATGGGCTGTTTAAGTAGGAGACATTGGGATTTGTATTTAGAGAAAGAGGAGAGTCATGGATTTCTGGATGTTAACTGCTTTTACTAACAAGGAGTTTCTTGTTGTTCTACATTTTCCAAAGGTGCTGTTCATTATTCCTAACAGCAGGTTTATGAAAGTTGGCAACAACTACAGCTGCTGTGTATCTGGGTCGTGTGCGGGCTTTTCCTTGGGGGGTTTTAGTTCGCCCCACTTTCCGGAAGTGAGGCGGTGGGGCGGGCACAGCGCAGCTTCGAGAAGGTTTCGACTGCCTCAGACCACGTCAAGAGGGTCAGGAGATTCCTGTTTCCTCTCTAGAACAGGAGATGTTGGCAACAAATCTGGGAAGTGAGGACCCGGTGTTCCCCAAAGTGACTCAGGCTTAACAGCAAGGGCTTGGCTTTGGAGAGATGCCATCTCTCTGCCTGTTAAACTCCCATTTGCAGTCCTGCCCCAAGTACCCTCGAAGGTCCTACTCTGCAGAGCACGAGTTGTTCACCCTGCCACTAACCATCCTGCAGATTGCCTAACGGAAGGTTCATCCTCTAGTGTGTCGAAATTTCTTCCATGGAGAAATTTATTTCTTCCGATGGAGAAATAAATGGAATTCAGATCAGAGGAGAAAGATAAGATAGTTCACTTAAGCTTAACTTTCTACCGTCTTCAATGAGTGCTTTGGGGTGATGGCTGCTACTTAGATTTCTACATCTACCTGCCCCCCCCAAACCAATTATCTTTAAAATTATTTTGACTTAACATTCTAGTAAACAAAAAGAACAAGTGAACAACAAAAACATTCAACTGAATGACAAGTAAATAAATGCCTGGAGGCCTATTGCCTCACAGTTCTGCCCACTCTTTACAGTGACATCCAGGGAAGCTCCCTGGGGTTTAAGTGCTGGCCTGCCTGAGGTCGCCTCCTCTGCCCCCCGGGTTCTGCCTCAGGCTGTCTCCAAGCCTGTCTGTTCTGGCTGCTGGAGGCACGTTGCAGAAGCCCTGCCCGTTGCTTTCTGGGTGGCAGCGGGAGGCTGCTATGAAGGACTCTGGGAACCTTGCAGGGGCCTTTCTGACCTCTCTGGCATCACGTGCCCTTTGCCTTTTGCTCTCCTGCTGCTTGCCCATCCAGCTGGTTTCAACTCGGTTTTTCTCTTCTGCTGTGAGTACCATGTCTTAAACATACCTCTCTCTCTGCAGTCCCCTTCAAGAGCACAGAAATCCCCTTAGAGATAACAGAAACCTTCACTAATGCCCACCTGTCCACTGTTAATTTTGATGTATTTCCACCTCATAGATAATGTTTACATACTGGAAGCATACAGAGTACACAAAATCATTATGTACTAAAAGGGCTTACCATGAAAAGCAACATTTCCCTGTCCTCCCTCAAAGTACTTCTAACTAATTTTAACAATTTCTTTTGGAAACCATCTCCATAGTCCTTTTAAAAATATTAAAAGGCTTCTTTTACAATTTCTTAATGTATCAGCTTTAAACTTCTTGTTAAGAACTCTTTTTTTTTTTTTTTAATCTTCACTTGAGGATATTTTTTTATTTATCTTTAGAGGGAGAGAGAGAGAGAAGCATCAATGTGGGAGAGACATATCGATTGGTTGCCTCCACAAAACCCTGACCAGGGCCAGGACCAAACCTCAACCAAGGTACGTGCCCTTGATTGGAATTGAACCCATGACTCTTTGGTCTGGGAGCCCATGCTTTAACTGCTGAGCCAAACTGGCCAGGGCAGAATTTAATACTCTTATACCATCCCTTCTGTGGTTATATCTCTATTTATTATTAAACCAATAAGGTATATATTATTAGAGTTAAGTAAATACTGTTCCCTGCCAAAACAAATAGTGTGTGGCAAGCACAGTTTCTGTCTTGTACAGATGTCAGCTTTTCCTGGAGTCTTTAATTACCATTCCCTCTCTCCTGGCCCCTTCTGATTTTTTTTTTCCTTGGATGTCAGGTGAGAATTGGGTTAATGTGATCCTTGATTCATTTTAATATTTGTTCATGCAAGGACCTCATGAATATAGCCTTGAATGTATCTATTTTTGAATAAGATATATAGTTCTCCATTTATTTGTATTTGATCAAGCTCCCCTTTATCCCCAGGGCCCTCCATCTTTCTCCAGCAGAGACTGATCACATTTTAAATGAACTAAATAAGTGCTCTCTCATGGAATAAAGAAAAAAATAATTTTGACTAATTTACAAACTTTTTCTAATATTTTTAGCTCACTAAAAGCAATAAAAAGGAACTTTAAGTGTGACAGGGAATGTTTTATTTTTTTTATTTTTATTCCTGACCCGAGGATATTTTTACATTAATCTTCAGATAAAGCTGGAGGGAGAGAGAGAGAAGCATTGATGTGAGAGGGATATATCGACTGGTTGCCACCCCCAACCGGGCCAGGGACAAAGCGAAACTGAGGTACATGTCCTTGGCCGGAATTGAACCCAGGACTCTTTGGTCCCCAGGCGACGCTCTTACTGCTGAACCATACCGGCCAGGGCATGCATGACAGGGAATGTTTTATAAAGTGGATAGACATTACCTGTTTTCGAGAGATCATGTGAGTTCCATTGACACAATCTCATTTATGTGAGCACATCACACTGCAGAGAGCACACCTGGGAGGAGCTAACCTTGAATATCTATTGCTGAGAAGATAAGGCTACCTTCTTTAATCCTCCAATAATCTTATATATCATTTACTTTATAAAAAGAGGAAATCGCAAGGTTAAATAACCCACCCCAGTTGATGCGGTTAGTTAGTGGTGGAATTAAAAGGCAAGCCCAGGTTTGACTCCAAAGCTCATATTTGACAGTGTTCCTCCCACTCTAGCCTGCTTTCTGGTCTGTCCTCATCAAACCTTACCCGCTCTATTGTATTTGTTTTTTCTCTTAGTGGACGAGTGTTCGTCTGACTACACAATTGTGCTTCCCGTGATTGGGACCATCGTGCTTGGTCTCTGCGCTGTGGGTTTGATTGTCTATGGAATCCGCCTAAGGTGTGAATCATCTGGATACCAGAGAATCTAATTGGTACCCAGGGGAAAAGGAAGTAATGGCACTTAGAGAGTTCTTTCATCGTTTCCAGGATCCTGGGGACTTCCCTTCGAGTGGGGGTCCTGCCAACAATGTAAACCATCTTTCACACAAAAACAAGTCATTTCTGATTTAAGTTTGAGCAGCAAATTAATTTCTAAATATTCTTTTACTTTCTGAAAGATCTAGGGAGCCATTTAAGAGTATTTTCTAGTTTCCTTCAAAATATTTTAACTATTCAAAGTCAACATTTGAGATATATTAAATTAACATAATTTATGTAAAGTGATACATACTTCCAATTTATAAACCAAAGTGTCAAATGTAATGAACGCTACCTGTGTTCCCATAAAATAAAATCCCAGGATTTTTATTTTATCCTTGATCTTTTCCATTTTAAGAAATGCCTCTGTTTTATCTATAAAATGGAATTACCATATTTTACTATGGTAAACATATATGACAAACATATGCCTGGTGATCTACTAACTCCTTTCCACTTTAAATGATTAAAAAAAAAAAAGAAAATTAGAAAAACTCCACAAAATTTTACAGGTAGCCTAGGTTTTTTATCTGACACCAACAAGAGGAAAAAATCAGCTTTTATTTTTTTTATCTGGATTACTTCTGCTCCAGAATCACTAAAGACTAAGAATTAGGTAGCTACGAGCAACTGAATTAAATAAGCAAGAAACAATAATAATGACCCTTAGTTATTGAACATGTATGTGCTAGACATTAGGATTCCATAATTTAATTTGTGTAATTTACATCAGTTAATTCTCATGACTCATGGATGAGTAAACTCAGACTTTACAAAATTAATCACTTAAATGCCACCCAGCTATCAGGTGGCAGAGCCAGGATTTCACTTCCCATTCGTCTGGCTCCAAGGTCTCTGGTCTTTTCACTACATCAACTTGCCTAAGAGAACAAATGATGCTAAGTGCTGCCCAAAGCCTCACGCTGGCATATGCTCCCTTTTACATAGGGACTCAGTGT